GTAGACATGTAACAGATTTTGGGTGTCAAAGTTAGAAAGACCATTTAATGGCAAGAAAAACAGTATATAATATGTGTGGGTACAGTAAATAAGTAAGAGGAAAATTACAGCTAAACACAAACACCACAGAAATGTAAAAACCGACTTCGTCCTTAACGGTAAGAAAATTGAAAAGCGGTCTGATCACTAAGGGGCTAAAGTATAAGTTAATTTTCAATTTATCATATACTTTAACAAACTGCTCGGTATTCACATATCCCAGATCAGTGCTTTGTGTTGTGTCTTTTGTCTTTCAAAATATGACTGACAAAAAAATATATTTCATTAATGAAAGAGTATATTGTCACAGTAATACTGAGGTATATTTCCTTACCTATAAATGTCTTTATCCACTGAAAGGACTATTTCATAAATCATTTATTTTACAAATTGGAACAGTTTGCATATGATCACTTTTGCCAATTTTACAGTCAGTGTTATAGGCAGTGGTCTACATTTAATATGATTGTATCAATGCAGAATTTATTATTAACTTCTATTCTTCCAAACCACACATTAATCATTGATCAAATTCGCTGACTATTTTAGATCCGTACATGCACACCTGTGAATTTAAAAAAAAAATATATATATATATATTTAGTTATGTTTCCAGAAATTTTTCGAAATAGGTTAGCAGGATTTCACCAACTTGGCATTTAATTCAAAGTATTCCGAGTAAAAATGTTCACAAATGTTGATGTTTCTACAGTTAATTTGTTCCGAACTAGCATTTATTACACAGTGTGGTTTTTATGTATAATAATATTGCCATTAGCAGTCTGTTAGCAGTGACATCTATAATATTGTAGCATTCTGTAACCTTATATGTATTTTATATAATATACTGTATATGGAAGAACAAATTCAAACCAAGCATAACAATACAATGATTTGTAAAGGAGGATTGAACATTCGAGATAGACATATTGTGAAAGATATCATTACTTGGCTCTGATTTTGAGTTTAATTGATTCATGTATACATTCAATATTGTAATAAGTGAGACAGTATTTTAATTTTAGACGGTTAAACATTCGCTTTATTAATGATTCTTCTGCTTCTCAATGACTTTTTAAGGTTGAAGTAAAGTCATAATACTTTTGATCATATAAACCAGGGCTGTCCAACCTGCGGCCCCCCAGGTGTTGCTGAACTACAACTCCCATGATTCCCTGGCTATCTGTTTAATTGAAAGAATCATGGGAGTTGTAGTTCAGCAACATCTGGGGGGCTGCAGGTTGGACAGGCCTGATATAAACCATTTAAATGCTAGACTGGATACGGCACACTCAGACTTCAATGATGCAACTTCTAGGAAACCAAATGTGAGTGGTAATATCTTTTTAGACAGTTCTTAGGACCAAGAAAGTTAAAAATAAAGTGCTAATGATAAATAAATATTAGAAACCCTAACAACTATTCACACAATAAAATATGGAATAAAAATTAATCACACAAAAAGAGTTCTCTAGATTCTATAGCATTTGATAACGGGTTTGGTAAATCCTAACCCATTTATCAAAATAGCTAAATAATTTTTGCACCTTGATCCTAAAACCCTTCATAATGTCTAGATTTTACTATTAACATGGCGTAAAGTCATGATTTTATTAATGACAGCGAGTATTATGCTTTCTCTTTCTTTATTTTTCCTCAGTAGCAAAGAGAAAAATATATAAACTTAAATGTATATGAATAAAACTATCAAATATAACAAATCTGCCTAGGAACAGGGCAGTCAATCAGGAGACAGGACAGTCTATAAAAGGTCGGAACTAGCAGTAAACCTCCTCTTCTTTGCCTGTAAAACCAAAGACCAGAATCAAGTCCGAAACTTGAAACTTCCTGAATAACGTCCATATAAGTAAACTTCTCTGTCGATAATCAAGCTGTGAAAACACAATATATATTTCAAATCCAAACTCAGGACTCTTCTCAATAACAATTCAACTCGAAGGCCATAGGCATATATCAGTACAAACATGATATAAAAAGTATAACATAACGTTATATGTATGAAATATCACATAATACACTTACCGCCACTTACCATGCAGAAAAAAACACATCGCAGTAACCTGGTAAGGCCCAAAAAAACTACCTGGAGTGCGGTTGGGAATAATACCCACCTCTGTGCCATTAATAAAATCATGACTTTACATTATGTTAATAGTAAAATCTAGGAATTTTATTAATGACACAGAGGCTCTTATTATGCAAGTTCAAAGTTGAGCCACAATTCGAGAAGAAAAATGGTCAATCGGGCGGAAATAGAAGTCCTAAAACGTAGACTTGTGAGACCAATCCGCAGCTCTCAATATATCGTCTAGGCGACAACCTACCATCAAAGCTTTAGAAGCCATGGCGCCTCTCACCGAATAAGCAGAGAAGATCGAAGCGTCTATCCCTGCCATGGATAGGAGGTCCCGGATCCATTGAGCTAAAGTGGGCGTAGAAACTGGGAGATGTGGTACACAAAACAAAATGAACAATTGATGTAAATCGGGTGATCGTAATGTCCGTGTACGATCCAGATAAGAACGTAAGCAAGCAACCGGGCACAGACCTGGTCTGACAGTGTATCTCGGGTACGAGACCGTTTTCGTAGCTGACTTAGTCCTACAAGATATGTTGAACGATACTCCCTCTGGAGTGAAGGATATCCATTCCAATGCTCTAACATCTGATATTCGTTTACATGAAAGCAAACATAGAAGCATAAGCAGTTTCCAAGACAGGTGTTTAAGAGATAATTCATCATTTGTAAGCCAGGAGTCCAAGAAATTCAACACCATATTGACATCCCAAAACGAGGAGTATCTTGCTCTTGGGGGTCTAGTGAATCTGATGCCTTTCAATAGTCTACAAACAAAAGGATGTTGTCCGATTGGGGAACCATCCAAAACTTGATGTCCTGCAGAAATATCAGATCTGTAAACATTGACTGTGTGATAAGCTTTTCCCGATTTAAAAAGCAACGTACGGAAATGTAGTATTGCATTCAGAGAGGCAGAAACTATATCCAATGACTTTTCCATGCACCAGCCAGACTATATTCGCCATGTGGACCGATAGGCAGATCAAGTCCCCCAGGCCCAGGCGTCGTCCAGGAGTTCCATAGTCGTTTGTGGAACGTTTGCGATTGTCCAGGGACTCAGGAAACTAACCACAACACGAGTTGAAGTAGACTCTGATCTATCAAGTTGTGCGACCATCCATCCGGATCGAGAAGCAAGTCTGGGACCATTGGTATCAGACACGGGAAATCCAAAGACATCTCCAGAAATCGAGGAAACCAAGGCTGTGTTTGCCACATTGCAGCCACTATCACCAGAGAACACTTGTGTCTGCATAGATAAGACAGTGTCCGAGAGATAAGGTTGAACTGGGGAAAGGCATAGTGACGAGACAGCAGCCACATCTGTAGGAAGGCATCAATCACCAGCGCTGCTGGGTCTGGACGCTAACTGTAATATTGGGGTAGTTGTGTGTTCAGTCTGGATGCGAACATGTCTATGTCCAGTGGTCCCCACAGTAGTTCGAGTTGCCAAAAGATCAAACTGAGCAGATGACAGTGCCCCGAATCCTCCAGGTAACTGGAATTCTAGTCCATCCATGTGTTGTCCAAACAAGGGATATGTTCGGCCATCACTGATACATTGTTGTGAAGGCAGAAGTGCCAACATTCCTTTGCTAGGCTTGCCAGACGTTTTGATTTTGCGCCTCACAGGTGATTGATATATCGTACTGCCGACACATTGTCCATGTGGAGTAGGATACAACAATTTCCCAGAGTTGGCGAAAGGCTGCAGATGGCGAAAGATCCCACCAGCAATTCCAGACAGTTGATGTGGAGCAGCAAATCCATCTGTTGACCCTCTGTTACCTGTGGAAATGTTCCCGCAACGTGTTCCCCAGCCATGTAATCATGTCTGGAGCGGATCCAAATATCGCCCGACCATTCCACGCCTCCATGTGGCCGAGTCACCACTTCAGTTCTTCCCGTTATTCCACATCCAATATCAGTTATGACTCGTAGGAATGTCCCGCTCTTAGGTAGGAGCCTTTCAACTTTTGCACGGTAATGTAGGGGTCCCAGGAAAATCGCTTGGATCGATGAAGCGAGTAGACCTATTATTCTCACCAACTGCTGAATGGAGAGGTACGTAGTGTGGAGAGCGTGTCTAATCAGCTTTTTGATTGCTTTCGTCTTCAATTCCAGAAGGAACAGGAAGTAAGTGAGAGAATCTACGTTGAATCCCAGAAACTCTTTCTTTTAAACTGGGGTTATAATAGACTTTTCCAAATTTATGAGGAAGGCACTCGAGCAGTTGCATGGTTCACTGCAAGTGGCAGAGGACTTGATCGGTTGCGGTACCCAGTAGATCGCTGCGGTACCCGGTTCTTTAACTGCCAAATTAACCAGCTTCGGCTCTATCTTTATTAAAATTTCCTTACGGCGTTCAGCAGTCTGGGACAGATGGCGTGGGGCATTCTGCCCGCAATTTGCTGAAGCCCTCCCAGAGGGCACACTCAGCGTGCGCCTTCCCATCAGTCCGGCCGGGCACCGCGGACCAGCAAGCAGCTTGGCCACGCTACAGAGGAGGGTAAGGGAGGAGCAGCCATAGCCGCCTGATGCTCTTTACAGAGCGCTCAGGCAGCTGCAGCATTTAAAGGGCCGGCCCTGCAGCGGCCGGTCCCAACAGAATTTAGGGCGGCCAAGGGGGCAATTGCCTCCCTGCCCCCCGGCCCAGCCCGCCCCTGAAAGGGGGGTACACATGCGCAAAGCCAAGTACTTGGTAATGTATTCTGGAGGTCCCACTCTGCAGAACGAGGATGGTGGAGGTCGTTGGGTAACCCTGTGGGTCCCGAATACCATCCCCCACCCTCGCCGACAGAATGGTAGGACCACCAGACACGGGCACCAGGGGCTGAGAGGGAGACACCCCAGAACCCACCTCCGGGTCAGAGTCCTCCTCCTCGTAGGAGGCATAATCATCAGTTTTCAAACTCTTGTTGGAATCTGACCCATCATCCTGGGCATGCGCCCATTTCCAGTTTCTGGATGATTTTGCCCGGCCAGTGGCTCTCTTGCACGGTGGTAATGCACCATCCTGGACTGACAGAGGTGAGTCAGACAGATCAGATATAACTTGTATCAGTGACAGAGGGGACGTGTGTCTAGTTTTGGCTCGCGCCTTGCGTGCCACAGGGGCCACTTGATCAACGCGTGCTGGGAGCGATGGCGGTGGGCTTTGGGTGTGAAAAAGGGCCTGTGCAAAGAACTGGGAAATGGAGGAGAACACAGTCCCCATCACAGAGGCCAAGGCCCTCTGAATGGAGCCTGACATAGTGGAATCCAGGAGGGCCTCTATTCCTGGGACGGCATCAATCCCATGTCCTCCACTGCAGAAGGCAGCATGGCCTCAGGGTTGGGGTAAGTTGGGCCTTCAGACCCATCTCCATGTGCCTGCATAATTGAGATAAGGGCACCACAGAGGTATGTAATAGCCCCACATGGTCTAATGGAGCCAGTAGCTGCAGGCCTGGAAACCAATGGCAGCACCAAAATGCAGCCAAAGTCAAACAGATAGAGTAGGCCCAAGCCAGAAACCAATATTCCCAGGGAGTTAGTGGGGTATGCCACAGGCCCCTTAAACCTAGAAAGGGAACGTTGAGCTAGACAAGTTATATGGGACAGTTGGAAAAAGGGCAGAGAAACACCCCCCAGGGGTTAAGTACCCAGAGGGGAAGCACAGTAAAGGCTGGCATCCCAAGCCTTGGCTCCCCAGAGGGATGCAGCACAGGGAGGGCGCCTCTGTTGTGATGGCACCCTGCATGACCGCACAGCGTGCACACCCCAATGGCTGGCCCTGCTGACACACACTAATGTTACTACTTAGAAATCCCTCAATATTAATACAGACATCAGAGTAAACACCAATAAACTGTGGAAACAGAGCTGATCCCACACAAATTTATAAAGATTTGCTTACTGGATTTGTTGTAAGATTAAATCATGCCTCCTCCCCTCTCTCTCCCATGCGCTGCTCTGTAAGCTGGGAGGAAGTGAAGAGTAATCACAATCTCCCAGCACAGTGGCACCTGTGGCTGCATGGGGAACAGCTGTATTTGCCACCTCCCATGTGACATCACAATGCCCCACCTATATGAGCTGCCATACGAACTAACGCCAGTGCTGCCCACAGTGTGTGTTTACATTAAAAAGCCTGCAGGGACCGGCTACAGATACCAGAACCACTTCATTAAGCTCCAGTCGTTCTGGGGACTATAGTGTCCCTTTAATGTAATGTAAATTATAGATTAGTGTCACTAATAATATACTAGATTGCCCACTTACAACCAAATGAGGATGATGATGGGCTGCAGTTTGGCTCCACTGGTCTGGTGTAGAACAGGATCTCTGGAGGCTGTTTGCAACTGTGGTCACAAAATTCAATGTTCTGGGAGAATTGGAAGCAGCTCCATTTTTTGGGGGGCCCCTTACACAGCTCAAGGTCTGGGCCCCAGGGCCTGACGGTGAGTATGCCCACAAGGCCCACTCATAAGTCCACTTATATGTTCCACCCACCCATGAGTTTGCTCACAGGGAGTGGAGTGTGTAGGGGATGTGTTATGTGTTATTGTAGAGGATCTAATATGTGTGCTTATGGTATGTAGTGTATAGGGATACCAGTTTTTGCAGGTGATGCAGTGTGTTTGTGTGCAGTGGAAGCAGTGTGTATTTGTGTATAAGGGATGTATTGTGTGTTTCTGGTTGTGTGTAAGGGATGCATTGTGTGAATCTGTGTTTGTATGCATAAGGGATGCAAGGTGTGTGTCTGTAAGTGTGTGCATTGAGTGTGTGTTAGTGATGCATTGTGTTTCTGTGTGTATGTAAGAAAAGCAGTGTGTGTGTAAGTGTTTGCATTATGTGTTTCTGTGTATGTGTGCAAAGGATGCATTGTCTTTGTGTGTAAGTGTTGCATTGTGTGTGTGTAATGGATGCATTGTGTATTTCTCTGTGTGTAAGGGAAGCATGTTGTGTTTCTGTGTGTGTAGGGATGCATTGTGTGTTTCTGTGTATGTATAGGGATGCATTGTGTGTGTGTGTGCGCGTAGTGTCCTCTCCTCCCTGTGTCCTCCTCACCTCCCCCTCCCTGTGTTCTTCTCAGTCCCCCCCTTCTCTTCATCTCCCCTTCTCCTCACTCTTACTCTCCCCCCTCCTCCTGGTGTTCTTCTTACTCCCCCCTTGTTCTTCTTACCTCCCGTTTTTCATACCCCCCTTCTTCTTCTTACTCCCCCCTCCTCCTCCTTCTGTTACTCCCCCCTCCTTCACCTCCTTCACTTACTCCCCATCTTCACTTACTCCCCCTCCTTCACTTTCTCCCCCTTCACTTACTCCCCATCTTCACTTACTCCCCATCTTCACTTACTCCCCCATCTTTTACATTCCCCCATCTTCACTTACTCCCCTCCTTCATTTACACCCCCTATCTTCATTACTCCCTCCTTCATTTTCATCCCCATCTTTACTTACTCCCCTCCACTTACTCCCCTTCACTTACTCTCCCTTCACTTACTTCCCCCCCTCTCTCCACCCTTCCACTTACTTCTCCCCCTCTCCCCTTCACTTACTCCCCCTCCTCACCTCTCCCCTGCCCTCCCCTGTAGCGTGGCCGAGCTGCTTGCTGGTCCACGGTGCCGGCCGGACTGATAGGAAGGTGAACACTGAGTGTGCACTTCCTGTCAGTCCGGTTGGTTACAGGAAACAGAAACTCCACGCGGAACTGGAATTTCTGTTTCCTTTAACCGGCCGGACTGACAGGAAGTGCACACTCAGCGTGCGCCTTCACATCAGTCCGGCCGGGCACCGCGGACCAGCAAGCAGCTTGGCCACGCTACAGAGGAGGGTAAGGGAGGAGCAGCCATAGCCGCCTGATGCTCTTTACAGAGCGCTCAGGCAGCTGCAGCATTTAAAGGGCCGGCCCTGCAGCGGCCGGTCCCAACAGAATTTAGGGCGGCCAAGGGGGCAATTGCCTCCCTGCCCCCCGGCCCAGCCCGCCCCTGAAAGGGGGGTACACATGCGCAAAGCCAAGTACTTGGTAATGTATTCTGGAGGTCCCACTCTGCAGAACGAGGATGGTGGAGGTCGGTGGGTAACCCTGTGGGTCCCGAATACCATCCCCCACCCTCGCCGACAGAATGGTAGGACCACCAGACACGGGCACCAGGGGCTGAGAGGGAGACACCCCAGAACCCACCTCCGGGTCAGAGTCCTCCTCCTCGTAGGAGGCATAATCATCAGTTTTCAAACTCTTGTTGGAATCTGACCCATCATCCTGGGCATGCGCCCATTTCCAGTTTCTGGATGATTTTGCCCGGCCAGTGGCTCTCTTGCACGGTGGTAATGCACCATCCTGGACTGACAGAGGTGAGTCAGACAGATCAGATATAACTTGTATCAGTGACAGAGGGGACGTGTGTCTAGTTTTGGCTCGCGCCTTGCGTGCCACAGGGGCCACTTGATCAACGCGTGCTGGGAGCGATGGCGGTGGGCTTTGGGTGTGAAAAAGGGCCTGTGCAAAGAACTGGGAAATGGAGGAGAACACAGTCCCCATCACAGAGGCCAAGGCCCTCTGAATGGAGCCTGACATAGTGGAATCCAGGAGGGCCTCTATTCCTGGGACGGCATCAATCCCATGTCCTCCACTGCAGAAGGCAGCATGGCCTCAGGGTTGGGGTAAGTTGGGCCTTCAGCCCCATCTCCATGTGCCTGCATAATTGAGATAAGGGCACCACAGAGGTATGTAATAGCTCCACATGGTCTAATGGAGCCAGTAGCTGCAGGCCTGGAAACCAATGGCAGCACCAAAATGCAGCCAAAGTCAAACAGATAGAGTAGGCCCAAGCCAGAAACCAATATTCCCAGGGAGTTAGTGGGGTATGCCACAGGCCCCTTAAACCTAGAAAGGGAACGTTGAGCTAGACAAGTTATATGGGACAGTTGGAAAAAGGGCAGAGAAACACCCCCCAGGGGTTAAGTACCCAGAGGGGAAGCACAGTAAAGGCTGGCATCCCAAGCCTTGGCTCCCCAGAGGGATGCAGCACAGGTAGGGAGACACGGCCAAAGCACAGAAGTACAGGGCAGTGTGAAAAACACTGCAACACACATAAAACAACCAAAATGTATACATATAAATATCTCAAACAACTGCAAACATATACTGAGAACAGGAATACTTAGCTGGTCTGAGGGAAAAAAGGTGAAGTTTACTGCTAGTTCCAACCTTTTTTAGACTATCCTGTATCCTGATTGGCTGCTCTGTTCCTAGGCAGATTTGTTATGTTTGAAAGAGAAAGCATAATAGGAGCCTCTGTGTCATTAATAAAATCTACAATGTATTAAATAGTCCTCTAACTCATTAGAACTCAAACCTTAGAAGATTTGGTTATCCCATATACTAACAGTACATAATGGTACCCATTTAATCAACTTAAGAGGAATGAAAGGCTAAGCAGACTTTATTAGGAATCAAACCTGCTATTTTGATGTACTGCCCTAGGGCCTGATCAATGAAATATCTCCGTATTGTATAAGATAAATAAATAATATTTGCATGTAAGGTTACTAGAAGTAGGCATTTTTATTAGACGTATGTGAGAGGTTTATTAGGACAATAGGTGGTAAGCCAAGTGCAAATGCCTAAATGTTGACCGACATCTTATTGATTGCTATAGTGATTGCATCTTTTTTCGCACTTTCCCTCAGAAGAGCACCTATTTAGCCTTGGAAAATCTATTCATGGTATCTTATTTTTAATGCTGTTATGAAGTTAGAAATAATCTGGTTTATAATTATATTTTAAATAAATTAGATATTATTTGAAACTGCGTATCATTATTACAAGTCTGAAACTTATCAATTATTATATTTATGATATTGTTCTTTATATTGAGTGCTGTTATAGCAGGCTGCAGCCATATCCTCTCAGATAGCTCCTCCTCTTAAAACCTCCGACTTGACTGGACATCCCTAGTCATCTGTAGCTCTACTTACCCGGCGATCTGATACTCCCATGCAGGGCAGCACGCCCAACAGGTGAGCTATTAGCGCAGCCCGAATTTCAGTAATACAAGCACTGCTTGCATTCGGGGCATCGCATCTCTTTCAGCACCACATGGTTCGCACGTTCTGGGGTCGCAGGTGTGACGTGTAACTTGTAATGTTCTTTTGACCCATTTACTGTGCCCTATCGTGGCTTCTGTTTCTAGTACTGTTAAT